GGCTTTTCTTGGGACTTCATTAACATTTCAAGAGTTGCTCGACTTTTCTGGAAATTCATTTTCAACATGGCCTCCATTTTAGATTTCACTCGATATTAGACCCGATTTACCTAAATACACTGACTGCCTAATTTTAAATCTGGCTTCAATTACAATCCCAGGACCTGGCTTATGATTTTAAACCACAGAAACTTTCTCTTTTCTTGGATAAGGTTATGTCATGCCTTGACTCAATTTAACTAAATGCCCACAGAAGCTGAGGTATGTATCACAGGGCTGATTTACGACTATTTGACCAGTGAATAAGCACCATGCACTTCTACTGGAATCATGGCAGCAAGACAGGTTCCTAGGGTCTAGACCCCCTTTCAGGTGAGATTGCCCACAACTGTGCATTCCCTATAGCAATATTCCAGAGCCACCACTGCCCCAGCAAATTCTCACACACGAGAAAGGGGAAGACATCAAATGCCAATTTACTAATTTACAATTAGAAATTCAAGGTGAAAATACACAATTAGCACAAGTTGCATGGGGAATGTAAACTCAATCACATGTCTTTTCCTTTAGTATGACAGTCATTCTGTAGAACCCTATCAGACAATCAGTCTCTCAACACTAGGCAGAACTACCCTAAGGACCTAAATCCTAACTAGGATTTTCGGTGAGCATGAATATGGAACAAAGGAAATCATGCTCATAGCACAAGGTAAGATAGTCTAATAACGTATCCATCTCACCTGAAGGATGTCCTGAAAATCCTAAAAGCCTAAAAGCTCCTAGGAGCCTTGCCTTTGGAAATCCAGGTCTCCTCCCTCCTAGACTGCAGAGAATGTTTTTCTCTGGGCTTGCTTTTGCATGGGGGCTTTCCCCTCTCACCCTCTCTCTGGGTACCTTCTTGTCTTCCTCCTTCAAATTTGTTTAAATCAAGCTACAATCAGGACAGATGGCCTAGGGAGCAACCCTCTATCTTTCTTGCTAATCTGTGCTCAGATACGCTCAGAGTTTCAGAGTTCTTTTTTATTTTTTTATTCTAATTTGTTATACATGACAGCAGAATGCATAACAATCCATAATACACATATAGAGCACATTTTTTCATATTTCTGGTTGTATACAAAGTAGAGTCACAATTGTGCTCTGTATGTGTAATAAAAATTGTAATGCATTCCACTGTTGTCGTGTATTTAAAAAATAATAAAATCAATTAAAAAAAAAACAAAGTAGAGTCACACCATTTGTGCTTTCATACATGTATTTAGGGTAATGATGACCATCACATTCCACCATCTTTTTTATACTCTTGCCCCCTCTTTTCCCCTCTCACCCCTTTGCCATATCTAGAGTTCATTTTTCCTCCCATGTTCCCTCTCCAACCCCACTATAAATCAACCTCCTTATATCAGAGAAAACATTTGGCATTTGGTTATTGGGGATTGGCTTACTTCACTTAGCATTATATTCTCCAACTCCATCTATTTACGTGCAAATATCATGATTTTATTCTCTTTTATTGCTGAGTAATATTCCATTGTGTATATATATACCACATTTTCTTTATCCATTAATCTACTGACTTAAAAACAGCATACTACAGGGACACAGCCACATCAATGTTTATAGCAGCACAATTCACAATAGCTAAACTGTGGAACCAACCTAGATGCCTGTCAGTAGATGAATAGATATAGAGTTAAGTTCTTAGGGTAAGTCTCCAGACAGGGGAAGCCTTCTGTGGAATATGACCTGACCACCTGCTGTGCCCACTGGTTCCTTCATACCTTTAACACCAGTTGGCTGTTGGTCCTCTAATACACTTATGCCAATTGTAGTGGGTATTGTAATTTTACAATTTAATTTAATTCCATAATGTAAAACAAGAGTATAAACAGAGAATTCTTTTATGGAAACAGCTAAAAGCTTTGCCAAGACTCCATATATGTGAGTACCTAAAAATCTGTCATTGAGCAAGATTAGTTTCAAATATGGAGGAAAATTACATAGATTTAAAACATACTCAGATTGGATTGTGAACAAAACTTTATGGATATGCTTTATGCATAAGACTGACTAGCAGTAATATTAAATGAATGATACTGTCCCTATGCTAAAACATTAGTATATAAATGTATATTTTTGTGTTCTAGTAGAAAATAAAATGTGTAAACTCAGTACGAATCTCTCGGTTTTTATGATCCCTTGCTATAACTGTTTTTTTGGATTCCGTTACTGAGATCCCCAGTCAGATATGAGTGCTTCAAATGCAGTGTAATATCAATATGATAATTACCATAGCTACCATCCATAAGACTACATTTTGTAACAAATATAAGTTATTATTAAATTTACTTATTAACATGCAATTGCAGATTATCTTCTAAAACCACACAAATAGGAGGACTTCTTGCTCAGCATGTCTCTTTTCTCCCTACACTTCCCTTGGAAAGTATAAGATACAGTATCCAAAAAAAAAAAAAAATAAAAAAAGATACAGTATCAACTCCAGGGAGTTTACTGAGCTGGTTTCACCAAGCTTTCTAATCCTTCCCTGTGGCCAAGAGGTGCAGAGGCATTCTCTGTTAGTGACTCCTTTAGAGTAAAAATGGAGTAAACAATTTCTTGTCTGATTAGAGAAGCCCTTGCCAAAAGATTGAAGGTGGCAATGACTTGGATAAACACTACATCTATGAAGGCATACTTTCTTCTTCTTCTTCTTCTTCTTCTTCTTCTTTTTTTTTTAATTAAGAGTACTGAAGGTCAAACTGGGGCTTCTCAAATTCTAGGGCAAGTGTCCTACCACCCAGCCCCTTGGTCTTGAACAACTTTCTCTTCAGCCTCCTGTCACAATGGGCAAAGGTGCAACTTATGCAGTCGATGGGGAGAAATAAAGAATATCCATGTGCTTCTGCCCTTTCAACGCTTTATTTACTCAAATCACTGAATACAATTTCACTCTATAGGTTCTTAATCAAGAAAATGACAATCTTTAATGCTAGGCACTGCAATAAACATAGTCAATCCATAGCAAACAATTCTAGATTAATTCTAAACACTGTAAACATTCTTAATCATGACAGGCTTACGACAGATATTGTCTCTGTATGCTAAGCTCAAGTGCCAATCTAAAGTCTCAAGCCTTAAGCTCTAAATCCAGAAGATGCACACTCACTCAGACCATGGTGATCAGGTCAGGGACCGAGGCAGGCTTCTCCTGGGGTGGAGCTCACAGTCCATTGAAGAGAGGGTCATAGGGAGAAGTTGCAGTTCTCACCAGGGTTAAGATGTGGCTGTAGAGTTTGAGAGTGGTGAGGAAGATGCAGGGGATCAGGAAAATGATGAGAAGAGTTGGGATGTCAGTCCAGGTCCTCATCAGGCTCTCCGGCATGAGGGCATCAGTGTTGGCTAGCTGAATGTCTCTTCATTTGCTCCATCGTTTATACTAAATTTTGGGGCTTCTGACCACCTTTTCAATCCTTATCAGCTGCCACTGGATTTCTTGGTGACGTCATTTGTTCTGGGGTTAAGCATCTGGTCTGGTGGTTCCCCACCCTGATTTTCTTGCCTCTCCCCTTTATGGGGCAAGGGCAACATGACAGAGACTTCATTCTGGGCTTGTCAGGATGGTGAGAAGTGACTTGTTTATGTTAGGCTCTGCCTGATGATCATATCGGAGGGCTCCTTAGGCGTGCCTGGTGAGACTGCAGGTTTCAAAGTGGAGTTGTAAAATAGAGTTGCTTAGGCTAAGACCTAAGGCCATCCTTATACCTCCATAGCACATTTTAAAAAAATATTTATTTTTTTATAGTTGGACACAATACCTTTATTTCATTCATTTATTTTTTACATGGTGCTGAGGATTGAACCCAGGGTCCCGCGTGTCCCAGATGAGCACTCTACCACTGAGCCACAACCCCAGCACATTTTTTTTTTAAATTTTTATTGTTGGTTGTTCAAAACATTACATAGTTCTTGACATATCATATTTCACACTTTGATTCAAGTGGGTTATGAACTCCCATTTTTACCCCGTATACAGATTGCAGAATCACATCAGTTACACATCCATTGATTTACAGATTGCCATACTAGTGTCTGTTGTATTCTGCTGCCTTTCCTATCCTCTACTATCCCCCCTCCCCTCCCCTCCCCTACCCTCTTCTCTCTCTACCCCCTCTACTGTCATTAATTTCTCCCCCTTGTATTATTTTTCCCTTTCCCCTCACTTCCTCTTGTATGTAATTTTGTATAACCCTGAGGGTCTCCTTCCATTTCCATGCAATTTCCCTTCTCTCTCCCTTTCCCTCCCACCTCTCATCCCTGTTTAATGTTAATCTTCTTCTCATGCTCTTCATCCCTACTCTGTTCTTAGTTACTCTCCTTATATCAAAGAAGACATTTGGCATTTGTTTTTTAGGGATTGGCTAGCTTCACTTAGCATAATCTGCTCTAATGCCATCCATTTCCCTGCAAATTCTATGATTTTGTCATTTTTTAATGCAGAGTAATACTCCATTGTGTATAAATGCCACAATTTTTTTTTATCCATTTGTCTATTGAAGGGCATCTAGGTTGGTACCACAGTCTTGCTATTGTGAATTGCCCAGCACATTTTTAATCAGGAACTTCAAAACCCTTGGTGATTCACCAAGGTGACATTTCCTGTGAAGTCCCCACTCCCCCTGACTTCTTTCTGGGAATCTTTTCTGGTTCTGTTTTCTGTTCTTTATCTCCCCTTCCCCCAGTCCCACTGTCTACCCAAGCAAGAGCCCTGCTCATTCCCACATCTATAAGTTGGGTTTCCAGCTCTGACCAAGCTCTATCCTCTAAGAAGTTAAAAAGTAAAGTTTAAGTAACCTCTGAGGACATGACCTCATAAATTGGGAGTCAGGGAGCTCCAGTTAATTCACCAAACACCATGTGAAAATAATGATAAAGTCACAATTTCAAGGTTGGGGGAGAGGCAGGAGAAAACAGAAATGGTCCTTTAATAATTTGTCATATTAAATTCAAAATATATTTATTTGAAAAATATCTAGAAAAATATACACTGAATCCAATGTAAGTATAAGACATAATGGGGGAATTCGAAAAGGGCATTTTATATTAATTTTGGAAATTAATTTCCATTAATAAACAGAAACACAGGAAACAAATTGAAAATAGCATAGGCCAGGATGATGTTGTTGTTGTTGTTTTTAAAGATATGGCATTGCTGCTTACAATTACAAGAAATGGATGATAATATTTTAAATGAGTTAACTTTGGTCCATCATGCTTACTTCATGGTGTGAAGAAAACAGCACTTGAATGACTTTTTTTCCCCTTAATTTGTTCTAAATTACAGCAAAGTGCTCTGCAAGAAGCAAGTGCTTGCGTTAATTAACTCTGAGTAAAGAAGGTCACTGGTATACAGAGGGCTCATTTTGTGGTTTTAGTTATAGATTTTCTTCTGCAATTAGAATTCATCATTAGGCATTGTAAGCACGTGCGGATTCTTGCTTTTTTATCCGGTACTTCAGAATTGGGCACATTTGTTGATTTTTCTCTAAAAACATTTAAAATGCAGCAACAATAATCGAACTGACTTATGGGATGAAACAAATGTACAACACATTTATAAGTATATCTAAAATACTGTCGTTTTCTCTGAACCTGAGTATTATTATAGCTCAATTTTTTAAATTGCATATAAACGATTGTACAGTACTTGAAATTTTACAACATAAAGAATTAACAAATCTGAATATTAGTCATTTTATATTGAATTGTGAGCATAGAGAAAAAAATTATAAATTCTGTAAATTCTTGTATATAATCCATGATACCAAAAATTTAACCAAAGCTTTAAAGAACCATAAACAGCTAAGTTAATATTTCTAAAATAGATATACATTTTAATGCTTATTTCTAATGTTCACTTAATTTTAGTTTTTTTAATGTAAGCCATTATTTTTATGCCTAAGAATTATAAGAGCCATACTACATGTTAATTATGTTGCTGATATAACACATGATATAATATAAATGAAAATTGTTTATGTAAGTTAGTGTTTGAATATCATGATGATGAACAATCCAGACTTATTTACCTCTTCTAATTCACTCCAGTGTTAACTAGGAATCACTATAAACAAGCTGACTTAAGTGGATTTAGCCACAGTATAAAGGTAGTAACATGTCATTTCTGCGATCATGTTTTCCCTGAGGATTCAAAAGTTAACAGCACACAGATTTGGTCCATCTTTTCTTTGTAGTTGGCACTAAATGAAAAAGCTGCTTTCTGATTCAAAAAGATATCAAAGAAGCTGTTTTATCTAAATGTCCTACCACTTATTAGGCTTTGCTTACCCTATTAAGTCTTTTTCTCTGCCTCTGACAGGGTTAATTAGTACCTCCCTTTTTTTTTTCTCCAGATTCTGTTCCTCTTTTTCTTGTTTGTATTACTTGAGAAGTATCCCATTGTCAAACCAATGAGCCAAATAAGTCAATGATCATAAAAAGTCTGATTTCATTTTTAGTTAAAATAGACATGTTCATACTCATCTTCACTACTCAGAAATCCAACATAGATAAAGTCAAAAGCTTTTTACCTTGATAACACACAATGTCAGTTTCTCAGCAGTATCTACACTCTCTTCATGTTGCTTTCACCAGATAGTCTTTCTAGAAATACATTCATAAGCAATAGACAGTGGATGGATGAGCTAAGGTCTCAAACAAAGGCAGTTAGCACTGCTGCTGTTCCACTGTATGATACATGTCCATTTATCAATCCAGAGTATGAACATGGGACCCAATAACTCATTTCTGACTCACTGTTTCATCCTTAACAAATGTATGAAAAGGGAAAATGTATGAAGGCAGGGAAAGACATGGGGCTCTTCAAATAAAGTTTATGATTTCTTTATTTGAAGAAACTTCACTGATACCAATATTTTGCCTTTTTATTTCTTTCTTTAGTGCCTTGGAGGAGTTTCCAAAGGCAAGCCATTGTAGCAAGATTTGGTATGAAATCTATGTTTGTAAAAATGTTTCATAGATTTTTTTTAAGGTAGGAAAAAACCATTTATACAAAGAGAAGTGGGAAAGAACCAGAGTGGTATTTTAAGTCACTTCCTATCAGGAATAACACATGAAGTTAAAATTCTAGAAACTGAGATCCTTAAAAATACCCATGGCCCTGTGTTTCTTGGAAATTTTTATGTACCATCTAGTGTGTGTCCCCAGCTTGGAGACTGTTGACTTCAAGATTATATTTCAGTAGTACATAGGGCTTAAGGGTGTAGCTCAGTGGTAGTGCACATGCTTAGCATGTGCAAGGCCTTGGGTTCAATCCCCAGTACAAAAACTAAACAAAACATAAATAAGCTCATATAAACTACATAAATCAAACGTAGATATCCAGTTAACTTACTCTGTCAGCAACAGGTAGGAGACCCATTGGAAGACTCCAAGCACTTAGGAAATGCAGGTCCATTATACAGCAGGGACCTGTACCTATAAATGGCTGCATAAAACAAAGTCCTCCTGCTAGTTCATGTAGATGTGAGTGAGAAATAAACCTTTGCTGAGCTCTAATTCCAAGATTTGGGGATTGTTAATAGTGTTTAGCCTGTCCTGACTAATTGAGTAGCTGATGTGCTGGATAGGGTTTCTCCATTGTAGGCATGAAGTGACCTTGTAGTCAAGACTGCGGTGTCCTGTGAGGGTACTGAATGGGAATCACAACCTGTTCTCAGGAAATGAGGCAGTGCCAGAGAAAGCCAGGATAGGGCCCAATCAAAGAGAAGAGATTACAAACTACTCTACCTACACCCTCCTGGCAGTTGCCAGCAGATCTCTAGGGAATGGGCCCAGACAGCTGCTCTCAGTGGATACCAGATGACACATGTCAGAGGTCAGTTATGGCCTTCTCCCCCCAGTATCAGAAGGACACAGCAACTTCCCATATATTCAACTGCCATTTTAAGGAGGGAAAAGAACTTCAAGAACAAATGTTCATCTAAAGAGATCATCTAATCCACCTTTGATGGGGCAGGGATCCTTCAACAGAAGAAACATTTAACCTAAAAGAATACTGTTGGAATCAGAAATGAAGATATCCTAACTTGGAATACTCAATATTCTTCATTACCCAGAGTTTATAAAGATACTCTGTTAGTCATAGGAAATGACTGACTTTTAAAAGGGGAGAACATATTAGTTCTGTGTGAGTTTTGACCCTACTAATCTTTTTTTTTTCTTTTTATGTTGTGACTATAAAATCTAGTTCAGATTAAAAACAGATATGAAAAAAGTTTTTAAAAGTATACATGCATTAGAAAGCACGTATACTTTTAAATATTTTAATACTTTCTATTTCTGAAAATTCAGCAATGGCCAAGAATACATGATTTGTTCAAAGGGACAGTTTCTCTGGAGATATGGCTCAGTACTAAATATCAAAATACAGAGCACTGACAAGCAATAGTTTTTTTTTTTTTCTTCAAAAGTACTTTCCTAATGACATCCTTTGTCTAATTGTTATGTGTGACTATATCCTTTGCCTGGAAGGCTAATTGGTTATAGTTTTTATCAAATCTGCAGAAAAGAGCAGAATTTTAATTTCACTTGACAGATTGTTAAATTGAGCTTTTATGCCATCTGGTTAGTTCAAGTCAATTGTTATTCTTTTGAGTCGTAAATATACAACTTCCACATTATGTATCTTTGAAAAAATGAAGTCCTAAGACAGAAAAAATTATGAAAGTCTATTGTCCCAGTGTGTAGACTACACAGCAGTAGCAAAAAACTGCTGTTGGAAGTTGTATGAACTATTTCAGTCCACTAGCACTCTGTCCTTAAGAGTATGCTCTTCATATGTGTTTGTCAAGATGGCTTTTTTGCCACTTGGAAATTCATTCATATTTTCTCCGGGAGCTCCCCCTTGTGACTAGTGGCCACCAGTGTTGAGGCAGTTGGTTTTAACAATTAAAATGCACGCTCTCAGGGAGGCCTGAAATTCCCCATTTCTGTCACAGAACTGTATTTAATTTTCCTAACTACTTACTGTTTTCTATGTATGGACTATTTGCTGGGTGCTATTAATTTTTCCTCATTGGAGAATAAGTGCCACAAACACTGAGACCTCCTTGATTTGTGTACCCTGGCTTTTTCTTCTGTTTTTTTTTTTTTTTTTTTAAGATTTTTTTAGTTGTAGTTGGACATAATACCTTTATTTTTTTAAATTTATTTTTATGTAGTGCTGAGGATGGAACCCAGGACCTGCACATGCTAGGAGATCACTCTATAAAGCTGAGCCCCAGCCCTAGCACATTGTTCTTAATAGGAGATCAGCAAACACTTCTGCAATGAGTAAACTTGTGACTATTGATATGGAGCCATTTTTCTTTGTAAGAAATTAACAAAGGAAGATCAAACCTGTGATTTTTTTTTTATTTGATGGTAGTAATTATTATTATCTAACCAAACTATCTAGCCTAACACAAGGTATCTAGATCACTAGCAGAGGGCAATTTATTTAGTGCTTCCCAATGCAACCTCTAGTCTCATTCTTATGGGACTATAATTCAGACCCTCAATTTTTCCCTTTTAAATTCAAGTTTCATATCTCTGGTTGTTGAGAAAGTTATGTATTATTTTATATATTTATAATAAATCCCACAAATTTTTAATAGTATCAAATATCAATATATTCCTTTAAGTTTATCTATAAGGTATCTTTAAATATAAAACTTGATAAGTCATTTAGCAGTTGAAAGGTTCAGAGGTTCAGGCCACATTTCAACTATGTGGTTGCTCATGAAAGTGTACTGTTCACCAAGAGCTGTACTATTTAAAGAAAGATAATTTTTCTTCCCTTTAGCTTGAGAAATCACACCTACTAAAAATTAATATATACTTGAGAGCCCAAAAATTGTTTGAAATTTAGAAATTTAGAAATAAATTAGTACTTTTCAAATCTGCCTATTAGAAATGATTGACTTAGAAACAAACAAGAAATGTAAGAAGCCTATTTCTCTCCTATATAAGTGTAGAATTTAGAAATTTGTTTTACTTCCTCTTTCTTGCTCTTTTAATGGAATGAATTTTGGTGAATGTCTCAGGAGGTACCAGCTTGGTTTTATAATACCAAAAAAAAAAATTTAGTAGGATTATATTAGTGCAAAAGCAATTATTCACATTGGTTTGAGAGTTTTCAATAGGGGTTTCTTTTAATAGTTCCTGTCTTTCTGAATAATAATCATTATATAAGTTCCCCTTTCTTAGAATGGATCACAGTTTATAATAATGAATAAATCAAACCCAACCTGATTTGATTACAATTAAAAGCCAGTAATCACTTTAACAATAGTTAAAACGGTGACACAATTCCATTCTTTTTTTTTTTTTTTTTTTTTTTTAGAGAATTTTTAATATTTATTTTTTAGTTCTCGGCGGACACAACATCTTTGTTTTGTATGTGGTGCTGAGGATCGAACCCGGGCCGCACGCATGCCAGGAGAGCGCGCTACCGCTTGAGCCACATCCCCAGCCCCCACAATTCCATTCTTATGGCATATAGTTAAAGGGAAATACAGACAGGACTCCCCCCTGCAGTCTTCTCTGCTTATCTCCAGAGCTGTGCTAGTCTCTGACTTCATTATCACTGGTCATTCTTCTCAAGGTCAGAAATGAGAATATTTTCTTCTAAATGTGTTGTACTAAAATTGGTTGCAGGATAGTAAGGATTCCGAAACGCTGCAAGTCTCCGGAAGAAGCCACTATTCTGTTTGTGTATGTAGAAGGACAGTGTGATAATCACTAGGATTATTATCAATATCAATGCAACTGCAAGAGGAATAATGCTGTGACTTGGTCCTGAATGAAGATTAAAAAAAATTTTAAAAAAAGAAAAAAGGAAAAATTTGAGTGACAATGAGGAAATATGAATCTTCTTACCTTGTTGCTTTCTATTTTATTGTTTCTAAGAAAAATCAAAATACTCCTTCCTCTCCAAACCTACCTTTTCCTGGGTGCTCCATTACAGTGTGAATATCTAAAAGAAAAGAAAAGAAAAAAAAGTTGAAATGATTTTTTTTTCTTTTAATTCAGCAAAATTATCTCATTACTTATAGCAAGGATCAGCATACTATGGCCCATGAGTCACCTGTTCTTATGAATAATGTGTTATTGGAGCTCAGCCATATTCACTTACGTATTATCTGTGACTGTTTATGAGGCAATGCCAGTGTTGCAGAGATCCTATGGCCCCAGAGCACAAAATATTTACTACCTGGAAAAGCTTAGTGGCCCTTCGTTTATAGTGATCATTCTATTATTATTAGCATTACAAATGTATGCACTGCATTCTTCTTAAAAAATTATTTTGTACATATTTTTCTTTGTTGATGGACCTTTATTTTATTCATTTACTTATATGAGGTGCTGAGAATAGGTCCCAGTGCCTCACACATGCTAGACAAGCGTTCTACCACTGAGCCACAACCCTAGTCCTACTGCATTCTTTTCTAAGCCAAAGAATTCCCATTCAGTGTGAGCACTGTGCTGCAATGGAAATGCAAGTAAAACACAGTCCCCATACATCAGGAGCTCACAGGTTCTTTTTTTTTTTTTTTTTTTTTTTTAATCTGTTGATCTGTTGTGGAGTTTATCCAGCAAGGATAACCTGTCTACATCTATGCAAGGATTTTACAGGCAGCATTTTCTCACCTCTGTGATCTCAAAAGATTTGGGAAATGAATAATAGCTCCTCCAGTAAAAAAGTGAGATAGCTCCTGTTTTAAGATTTTTACTGTAAACATATATATTTTTCAAGTAGACTACCTCAAAATTCAACCTCTGCAATTTTTGATCTAGGTAAAGATCCAAAGGAAGATATAGAGGATAATCTGGAAGAAGACGAGTGAGTGGATCGTGAGTGGAGGCGGTACCTTGAACTCTGTTTACACCTACTCACTCTGACAGACTTAAAAGAAACATCATTGTTATTACCTACCGCAAAGCTTCATTAAAAAACCTTGTTTCTATAATTTAAAAATAATGTCGCATAATTTTACATCAAATTATTAAAAACATTTATTATTCTATGTGGGTAAAGATACTTCTTAGTGAAAGATAGTTAATAGATATTTATTCTCCTGATAAAGGCAGTGGAGGCATAGAAGGAACTCTTAGAGAATTGGGACTATAACCTTTGATGTAGCTCAATTTGGACAAGCATTTTTCTCATTTGCAAAGTGGGGATTTTTAAAAATTTGTTCTTTTTAGCTATATACCACAACAGAGTATATTTTGACATATTATATACACATGGAGTATAACTTCCCATGGTTGTACGTGATGTGGAGTTACACTGGTTGTATATGAACTGTTCATATATGAATATAGGAAAGTTATGTCAAATTCATTCTACTATCTTTCCTATTCCCATCCCTTCTCCCTTCCCATAATTCCCCTTTGTCTAATACAACGGACTTCTATTCTGCCCCTTCCCCTACTTATTATGAGTCAGCATCCAAATTTCAGAGAGAACATTTATTTGGCCTTTGTTTTTTTGGGGGGGGGGATTAGCTTATTTCACTTAGCATGATCGTCTCCAACTCCATCTAAAGTGGGAATATTTTAATTGCTCCACTATCTTACAAAGTTGCTGTGAAGAATGAAAGAGGTGTCACGTATTATAAAAAGCTTTAAAGTCCTTACAGATATGAGGTACTTCTGATTTGTTCTTTCACTTTCTTTTTTTAAAAAAATACTTAATTTTTTAGTTGTAGTTGGACACAATACCTTTATTTCACTTATTTATTTTTATGTGGTGCTGAGGATCAAACCCAGGATCTTCCACATGTTAGGCAAGCCCTCTACCACTGAGCTACAGCCCAGCCTCTGATTTGTTCTTGATCTTATGTGCAGGTGGTAACTTCGGCACTTATAGCCCTAACCATGTTTCCCACACAGAATGATACTCTATTGGAGCCTCAAACATTGATGTCCACAGCAATTTTTTTTTTCTTCTTTCTCAGTGTCTAATCAGTCATGAAGGCCTGGTGAGTCTTCCCACATCACCCTTCTTTTTAATGTTGTCACTCAGGTTACAGATACTTCTCTTGACATTGAATAAGTGCGTCGTGGCAGGTGTCTACAGAGAACACTGGGTACTTTTCTCCTCTCCCATGAACTTGGCTCTTCAGCCTGAATTCTCTGTGAATGGACCTGCTTCACTGGTCAGTTTTATTTTCATCACTCCCAAACATGAGCCCCCACCCCCCACTCTAATCTAAGCTTATTGTCCATTCCCGCCTTAAGCCATGACGGGCTTTTTGTTTAAAATGCCTCTTTTCTCCTCTGTTCCATCTTCTAATAGTCTCTTCATCGTTTTTAGATTCCATAACCTTATCTCTCTGAGGTCTTATCCAGCAGCTCTGGGCATACAAATTCCTCCTTGCTGATAAGATTGTCATCTAGAAATTGATCTGATTATTATAGACAGACACCTTCTCACAGTCAATGATCTTTCTTGACATCTTACCTTAAAAATCTTTACTGTTGTTTGCAACTGACTAGAATCTTCTGACTTGATTCCTAAATTATTTTTTGATCACTCTAAGCGAGTTACTCAGGATGAAGTTAAATATGACTTTTATGACATATCATGCTTATGTCATGATATGTCATGACACAGAGAATCACTTCTACCTGTTCATGACAAATATGCCAGATACATAGAGTGTATTTTCTGAGGCCAAAGACAAACTTAACCTTCTGAGTAGCATCACCAGAATGGAGTTGGCTGCTTTACATTCTAATTCTATTTGCTTGTTGGGTTAACAGCCAAGAACAAGAGTCTTTGAATGAGTTGGTTTACAATGTTTTTTTTTTTTTTTCTTTCATATGAGAGGAAGGAGCTGAAATGTTCTCTGAGTTGTTTTATGCAGAACAAAATGATAATTCCAGAGTCTATCTGAAAACTCTCCAAATACTTAGATTTAAAAACTTGAAATGCTGAAATGGTGGGTCAACGTTAGTTAGGGTAGAATCAGTGAAGACTTACTCTCTGATTAACCCACCTGCCTCCATTTTACATATGAACCCCTTTTTTTCTTCACATGGGGTTAACTGCCACACTCCTTCGGGGACCTTCAGGGCAACACACTGGTGGGACTGGAGGTGGTCCATGTCTGGCTTCCGAATGCCCCAGTTTGATTGGTCTGTGGGTGTTCCATCAAACCATTTTATGGTTTCATCTGTGAAAATATTACTGACTTATTATACATTATATGCATTGTTTCAAACATACTAAGACTGCAATGAACCATAAAAATCGATCCCTAAGTTTAATGAGACTCTCTCCTCTGATGCATTAGCTCTGTGAGGACAGTCATGAACTCAACATCAAAGGTAGGTATTAATGAAGTTGACTTGTGAATTACCCTTTATTTATTTTAGATACATTATTCTATTTAGTACATTTAGAATATCATGTTTATTAGTGTAACAGTTTGAAACATTCCATGTAATTTCTAGCCAATTTCAAGAAATTATTGAGTAAATGAAACTAATCAATGTAAGGACACTCTTTTGAGTCCTAACCTCCAAGTCTTTATAAAATGATTTACGTTCTAAAAGAATTTTACAGTGAATGTCTTTAATAGCAAGCCAGTCATATGCCAAGGGATTAGAGGCAGTGGGAGACCATCCCATATACAGGAGGGATGCACTGACTGAAAAGAATTTAAAACTAAAACAAAACTAGCTAAAAGTTTATTTGCTTTTTATTATCACCATCTGCTAGAAACTCTATAAGGTTAGTGATTAAAATGCTCCCCTTAAGGGTAGGCTCACCCCCAACTTTGGTATACCACTGTTACAAGCTCTTTATGCTGATGAAAATAATTTTCTTTACAAGTACCTTTCAATAACCATCAATTACATAAAGAAAAGAATACCAGGCTTCCATTTTATTACAAACTCTGGTTTTTATGAGTAGCAAATAGGAATTCTAATAGCACAATTTATCACTGAAACATTTCCATAACTCTATTGTGCTTTTATAACATTTAGAAACCTGGGGCATTTTCCAGTCAGTCTGGTTTTGGTGTGATATGCTGAATACACAGTTCCAGCCAAGCATCTTCACAGTAATCGTAAAGGTAAACTTGTTGTTGTTCATTTTTATTTTTGCTATTCTGGGATTATTCCAGAGGATAAGAAGGTATAGAACAGGGTAGCAATGTTGTTTGTGGAAGAAATGGCTTCAGGATTCGTGCTATTTTTTCAAAGCAAATGTGTGCAAGGAGATTTTTCTGGCTCACAGATGCCATTATCATTAGCCCTAACAACTGTGTATTTATTCATGCCCTCTCCTTTTCTCTACCCAAATCACTTACTGTTACTATCAAATTGAGCATTCAACCAAACCATCTGGACAGAAGAACCAAACGCAAAAAGCTCTTCCAGGAGAAATGAATTTTCAGCCTCATCCTTGATTGTTAAAAGATTAGATCCTATAAAAGAGTCAAGTAGCAAATGAGCAAGTATTTGTGTCTACACATTTTAAAAATGTTGCAAAGTGCAGACTTTGAAAAGTAAAAATCTTTGTTATGAATAAAGTGATTTTGAATAAAAAGTTTAAGATAAAAGCACATTTACTAAGATTGCATTTAAGAAGTTAAAACATAGAATGTTAATTTTAGAGAACATTAAAAATTCACAATGCAAATTCATTCAAACATCTCCTTCAGAAAATGCAATATACTGAGACATCATCTCAGGTTTTCAAATTCTACACTGGACATTAAGTTGCATATATTATCTGTCCCCAAACAAGCAAATTTAATAGTATTTATTGCTTTCTATAGTTTTTGTTGCTCCTAACATCACTAAATAATCAGACAAATGAGAAAAACACATTGTTTACTGAAATGTCAAGAAGGAGCACATGAAAGAATTTTACCATCACAAAAGAATTACCTTCCTTTTTGCAAAATTCATGAGCAGCCTCAAAACTCGTGCTGTCTAGGACTGTAGAAAAACTGTAGCAATTACTTTTAAATTTTATCCAGGGAATAGATGTTTCTGAGCACAACACTGGGTGTTCAAATGGTTTTGTTTCTATGAAGAAAAACCAGTTATGATTTCAGGGTGGTGACTGGCTCCATTTATTGAGATAAACATTACATTATATTCTATGAAAGACCAAGATAAATATATGTAATAAGATTTTCATGGTAATATTCTGAAAGATAGGATTTAATGTAAATAATTACAAAACTAGGGCCAGTTTCTAGCATTTCTGGCAGAAACAATCTTTACCTAAACATAGCAGTGTATATTAATACATAGCTTAGTTTGAGTGGTGACTGGGTGAGGGGGGCTATCTTTCATGTTTGCAATTGGTATCCTAAAGGTTGGGACATCTGGAGGATGTGATTCATAGAAATAGTGACAGCTCAATGATTCTGGCAAAAGGGACTTCCAAATGTACAAAATGTGTTTCATGCAGTGCTGAATATCATAGATTTAAAAAAATCCTTCCTCACTAATAAACCTATGAGAAAAAATAATGCAACATGACATGAAATAAAACAAATAAGATACATTTTAAAAAAAGTATTTTTTAGTTGTTGATGGACTTTGTTTATTTATATGTGGTGCTGAGAATCAAACCCAGTGCCTCACACATGCTAGGCAAGCGCTCTTCCACTGAGCTACAACCCCAACCCTAAATGAGGTAAATTTGAGGGGACTTTACTTCAGAGGGCAAGCATGAGAGTTAGACTCATCCATCCTGAGATCCTGGCTCTGCCACTTACTGGCTGTGTGACTGTGGGCCCATTACCCACATTGATTCCTTTATCTATAAAAGGAAACTAACAACAATATCTTTTTTATAATCTGGGACTTTAAATTCATTAGTGCTGGATACTTCTAAAGTACTCAATGATGCATTGTTCTTTAAAAGAGAGAGATAGCTTTTATGGTGTTTCAGAAACAGAATTAATTTTTTCATATACATTTAAATATACATATATTTATTTACATTTAACTCTGAATTGTTTTGATCTAAAGTTACATATTGTGTATGCTATTTGATATAGTACCAAAAACATAAGTAAGTGTTACATTTTTGTGAAATGAGAGATTTAAAAGGAGAATAGCTAGTGCTACGGAACTTAAAAAAAATAACAAATATTTATTGAGGATTTACAGTTTGCTAAAGGTATATCAGAAGTACTTGTGAGTTTACAGAGCTTATATTTTAGTGAAATATATTTTAGCTAGCCTCTCTGCTACCTGACTTTTGGCATATATAAGCCATCTCTCTAGTTTAGGGAATTGTCTATACACACTATAGTAATAAAGGAGAAGGGACCTTTTCAAATGGGATTAACATCATATTAGAGAGTGGGGGCATGTGGCTTTTGATTCTGGTCCTGTTGATTGACAGCTGAGATCTCAGGAAGCTATATAGTGCTCTGAGTTAAGTTTCACCTTTATTGTCCTATTTTTTCCCATTTACATGCCACCCATTCTTCAAGGCTCATCTTCACTGTCATGTCCTTCAAGATGCCTTCCTTGGGCTTACGGTTGTGGCTCAGTGGTAGAGCACTTGCCTAGTATGTGTGGAGGCACTGGGTTTGATTCTCAGCACCCCATATAAATGAAATAAAGGTCCATCAATAACTAAAAAAATATTAAAAGAAGAGAAGCCTTTCTGCTTTTTCTTTTTTCTTGATAACTCCCACAACAGATGCTACCTCTCTTATCTCATTTGGTACCCATACTGGAATAGCAATTATTTGTCTTTATATCACTGACCAGACACCAGAGACTTACTAGGGGCTGAGACTTCTACTACTCATGCTCGTATTTCCTGCTCAGTCCAGCCTTGCATATAGTAGAAGCACACGTGTTATTTGTTCAGTTGAATAGAATTGTACCTACCAGTGGGCACATGACAAATGGCACCTTGCAGAAATGACTCACAGGCTGTGCTCTGCCAGCGTCCATTAATATCAGCGAAAACACAGTCACCGAAGAAGGATGACTCCTCATCTTTCCAAAAAGTGAAAGAGGATTTGGTGCCATCTGACCAGTCAAAATGAAGACCATTCTATGGAGGGAAGGTGAGCCATCACTTCCTCACCATGACTGCTGTGGTGTCACTCCGTGCCGCGAGCATCCCACTGTTCCCACAAATATCTCTGCTTCTATTCTTTTTTTTAGAGGGCCTAGAACTGCTTATGAATATGGCCTGATAAAAAGGAGTATCTACCACAAATGATATCTTTTTTTGGTTCTGAGGAATCATTGGCTTCTTGCAACCATAATTTCCTAGTAAGTAATCAGAGGGAAATAGGGTCAATACCTTGATTTTTACACCAAAATAAATTCTAGATTGATTGAAGATTCAAGCATAATGTTGAAAACATAAAAGCATTAATGAAAACTTTGCTATTTTTTTTATACTTTTGATGTGGGGAAAATCTTTCCAAGTCATACAAAATCCAGAGTCCGTAATACAAAATTTACTACATAAAGATAAAACATTCTGTAAAACAAAAAATACAACAAATAATCATAAAATATCATTCTTTTAGCTACCCCACTGACAAGGTTTAGAATTTTGATAATAGTGTTAAGGATGTAAAAAACAGAGCTGGGATGTGGCTCAGTGGTTAAGTGGGTACCAAAGTGGCCCCCAGGTACCAAAAAATCCCTGGTACCAGGAAAAAGAAAAAAGATGTAAAAGTTAGATGCAATCCTTTGGCATATAAAGTGGTGCAAATTTTTGAAAGGCAATTTGGCAGTACTTGTTAAAATTTAGTGTATTCAGCAATTTTATTTCTAGGAAATTAGCCTACCTGTACAAGAATGTTTGTTGTGCATTGTGATTGTAAAAAAGATGAGAAAAAAAATCAAATGCCCATTCTCAGGGGAATAATTTAATAAATTGTGGTGTATTCTTACATACAAATCTCAAGTGAATACTTGAGATTTTTATGTGCTTACAGGAAGGTTATAAAAACTATACTAAATTAAAAGAGCAAATTTAAGGATAGCAGACACAGTGTGATCTCATTTGTATTTTAAAAACAATGTACATATTCACTCATTATAGATGCATACGTGTATATCCATTGAAAATTTCTAGATGGCATACAAGAAACTGCTTACAACACAGGGAGTAGAACTAGGGATCAAGAGAGAATAGAATTTACTTTTCACTACTTTTATTAAAAAACAATAAAGCAAAGAACCTTATTCTCCAAATCACATTCCTAGAGGAAAATAAAAACAATGTTTAAATTTTAAGAGGTATGGAATTATTTAAAAATCAGGCAAGAAGTGTGAGCCATTTTTCTTGGTGATTCCTTAAATGTCATAAATGACCCAATTTGACCCAATTGCAGAGCTTGGGTTTAAAATGTGTTCCAGTATTTGTATGGGATGGAATTCAGATGTGTCTGGAAAATTTCAGAGACTTTTGAAGGCTATTTATTATGTCTAGAAATCAGGCAAGTGGATGTTTATCCCCAAAAGACATACACTCTTTTGTTTTCTAGTTAAGCCGCTCACAAGATTAGTCAGTTGTTTTACTAATTATTTAAATGTTACATTTACTGTTATTTCAGGGATTTTTTTTTCCTGTGCTAATTTCACTGATCCCATCATGAAGGAGGTAGACATGAAATTTAATTATATAAAGATATTCCAGGGCACTTAGGACACTTACATCTGTGGTGAACAGTCCAATCCAGTGGGCGTGTCCTAGCCGGTTGAGGACAACAGTGAGGAAGGACTGGTGATACTGGTCTGTAATGCTAACCAGCTCTGCTCCATGCATCAGGCAGGCTTTTATTGCTGCATACCAAGTCATATTTGCCTTAATTATTTTGTACGTTCTGTTTCCATATTCTAAGGTATTGGGGATTGGGTACATATCAGATGTATTCACGTGGTGTCCCGAAGTATCTACAAAAAGAACAACAACAAAATAATTTGTAGCATCTAGATGGGAAAGAAGGAGGAAAAATCTAGCATGGATCCCCGTCATGATGATCCAGGTTGACCAGAGAGTTTTTCTTCCTGAATTGACTATGTATTAAATGAGGGTACTACCTGAAAGTATATGGGATGCTAAAAATTAGAATCTTAAGGGAATTTAATAAATGAGTTTCTTCAAAATTATAAATATAGATTGCATTAATTTTGAAAGATTTCCCATTTTTGACCCTCTTTTGTCAAATAGACCACTTTTAGTAGAGCTGCCGGTAATCTCCTTGGGCAGGTTTCATTCGCTACCAACACTAGCCTAACCCACTGTTATGGCAGAAATTCACACTTCATGAAAGAGTATTAATATATATTGTGTTGTCATCAATTGCATTGCAAAACTAGTTTTACAAGTATATATTCTCAAATAAAACACTTATTACACTTTAAGACTATAAATCATTATCATATTTAGTCTATAATTTCTAAAAAGAAATTTAAAAACTCAAGTTAACAAATGCTAGAAACATACACTTCCTATAAAAAGTTACTATTAATATGTCACCTGTGAGAGTCAAGATTTATAAGTTAAAAGGGAAGTTTTTCCAGCCTGTAGTTATCAGTACTTCCCTGTTTAGCAGTGGCTATGATCATGGGGAAAGAGAGTCTTGTTTGACTTACAGATATTTCCTTTTTAATATGTGTGTTTACCTTTTTGTTTTGTATTACAGTGTGTACTAGGATAGGCTGAGTTCAGAGCAACTAAAACATGAAAACAAAATAAAAGTTTCTGCACTATACAAAGTGCCTTGAGTTTCTCTCTGTGGTTTTACAACACTTAGGGTTAGAAAGGAACATGGCCAGGTATGGATAGGTCAGAAGGTCTGGGGCTCAATCCCATTCCTCCTTCTAACTCGTTAAGAGGCATTGAGCAAATTGAACTCAAATTTCTGGTCTATGAGACATTGATATGATCTCCCTTAGAGAAGTATGAGTAGGATTCCTTGAGATATCCACATGGGATACATACTGTTATTTCTAGGAAACAGCAGGCACTCAATAAATGTTGCTTCTTGCTTCCCTTTCCTTACTTCTGGACATAACTCCTACTCTCTACTTGCTGCCCAACCCGTGAAAGTGGCAAAGTGGGAAATTGACTTTTACCTGAAACTCTTATCTCAATATAGCAACATATTGCAAAATCAAAATGAAATTAATATATTTACCAACTTGTGAAGATTTGAATTCTATTATCAGTTTATTTATTGCTAGAAGTCTGTTTGCCAGTCTCTATGCACCGTCTATGGTTATTTTTATAAAATCAATATAATAACAAAGTAGCTATTTATAAATGATAATGATTAGTGAAATTAAAGACACAAATTCTTATATATGTGGCCCAAACACCAATTTGACTGCCCCCTCAACTGAGTTATATATCTATATTTTTACACATATGAATTTCTTCCTATGTAATCTAGTCTATCAAATTTCAAAATAAGTGAATTTGAGCAACATGATCTTTCTATTCTTTCCCCTGAAAAAGTAAGATCTCTCTTGGAAGCCAAGTTCCAAATTGGGGGCTCTTAGATGTTCTTGTGGGATTTGTTTGTTTGTTTTGCAGTACCAGGGATGAACCCATGCTAGGCAAGTGCTCTACCACTGTGCTACATCCTGAACCCCAAACTAGGAGGGGTTCTTGACTTTGTCTTTCTCTTTTTATTCAGATTTCTTTGTTCTTTCAGGCAGACGAGTGATTTAGTTTCAAGCCCAAAGTGAGTACATATTTATAAGAAAGAAGAGCAGAACTTGTGTATTCATTGTAATTTGCAAGCATTTGTTAAATCAAATAGTCATAATTGAAAATACTCTATCATTCCTTAAACATGTGCTGGGAACAGTACTAAGCATTATATATGCACAGAGCATAAACGCTGAAATCAAAGTTTGCAGAAGATAAATAATTTGACAGAAGCTTGTTTACAGAGGTGGAGTAGGAAACCCTGGGTGGGGCACTCCAGGGTCTCAGTTCTCACCCACCACTGCTCTACACTGTCTAGGAAAGAACATCCCAAAATATCAGAGACAGCAAGTGATCTGAGGTTAAATTTCAAGAAAAATATCAGTGTTACAGTAGTAGAATAGAATCATTGTGTTTAACTGAGAGACATCGATCACCCTCAAGCTTGAGTGTTACTTATTTTTTTAATCATCAAGTTCTTTGTAAAATGGGGAGACTTTGACCTCTTTCATAGAATTCTTTATGGTTTTATGGCATAATGCTCATAAACCCAAGGCAAAGTGCCAGGTCCATGTTAAATGTGAACGTACATGCTATTCTGATATCATTTCTTCCCTTACAAGGGGCTTTCCATATTATTCTTGCCATTACTGATCCAGTATCTTCTTGTAGTTCCTGGCCATTGTGCCTCAGTGATAACTGAGAACCAGAAATGGAGCTTCTCTGGAATTGCTGAGGATGGGTTGATACTTAGCATCCTCAGAGAGCTCACAGGTGTGCAGGACTAAGAAGTGTGATTCATATTCCTGGTAAGCATCATAGGCTAGGCTGCCCAGATTTCCACATAGCCTGATACAAACTGCGACCATCTAGGGTGCTCTCGTACAGGGATAACTAGTGCGCAATGAAAGGAAGCTGCTGTTTCTATATTTATTACTTGGGATCACTCAAATGCATTCATGTTGCTTGCTGAACCTGTTGGCTATGTGTAACAGTGTGGTGATAAGATTTGGACGATAAATATCCCCTAAAAGTCCAAGTGTTAAAGGCTTGGACCCCAGGGTGTCACTATTGAGAGGGGGTGGAACCACTAAGAGGTAAGGCCTAGTGAAAAGTCTTTAGGTCATTGGAAGCATACCCTAGGAGGGGATTGTGGAACCCCAGTCTCTTCTTTTTCCTTTCTTTTTGCTTCTTGGCTATGAGGTAAGTGGCTTTGTTCTGGTGCATGCTTTAGCCATGATGTGCTGCTTTGAAATAGGCCCCAAGCAACAGGGCCAATCAATCATGAACTAGAACCACCAAACCTATGTGCCAAGATATACCTTATCTCTTTATAAGTTGATGATCTCAGGTATTTTGTTACACTGATGGAAAGATGATGGCTTTGGCAATTTATACCAGAAGTCATTGGGGGTTCTGCCTATTAGATCTAGAAACATACTATGCGTCATATTTAGCCACAGAGACCATTTTTAGGGTTCCAAGAAGGTGTATGAGTTGGTTTATTTCTCTGATTCTTTTCCAATGTTTTCTTGGTGACTTTTACAAAATTGCTTGAATAGATGCTGCTATGGTTTATATGTAGTTTGAATATGTTCCTTAAGAGCCACATGTTGAAGTTTCATTCTCATTAATGAGGTATGAAGCCGGTAGAGAATTTATTTGACTATGAGTTTTACAAATGGGACTTTTAGGAGATGATTAAGATTAGATGAGGTCATCAGGGTGAGCTCTCATGATTTGAATGCTGGTGGCTTTATAAGGAGAGACAGACCAGAGGGTACACTTATTCTCTCTGTCTCTTGCCATGTGATGCCCTGTGCCACCTTAAGTCTGCCATTAAGAAGGCCATTACTAGATAGGGGCCCTTTACTTGAGATCAGAACCATGGGCCAAGATAGCACTCTTTTCTTTATAAGTTAGCTTGCTAACTTTGTTATAGTACTTCATTATAGTGTCAGAAAATGGCCTAATACATACATGTAACCCAGAACAAAGCAGGACAATTCTTTAAGAGGCCAAAGTAAATGCATAAAATTAGTCACCAGTCAAGTGGTCTCTGCAGTCCTTAGAACACAACTATAGTATAGCATAGTCCCAGGGTGCTGGGGATTACATGACCATAGGTAAAGAGAAAGAATAAGTGCCTCCCACTGTTAGCTGTGGAACTGCTAAGCAGTTGTGGAAAACAAATATGGAAGATAAGGGGGCTGAGACTAAGGAAATGAAAGGAATACAAAACCATATTTTTATATATGGAATAAAAAGGAATAAGAAAAACATGTTTCTTACCTTGCATTTTTTCACAAACAAACCCATAGCCTTCTTTTCCACAATCTTCAAAATACCATTTGCCAGTGAAATGAAAATTAGGATTACTTGACAGCAAGGCACACAGAGGAATGTCTTTTTGAACTTCTGTAGTGTTATGACTTGGAATCTTTAAAAGAATATAAATGTTATAAAAATATGATAATATAAAACATTGAAATTTGTATTTAGGACATCAAAAGAGCATTACTCTCTTATTAACATTTCTTTCTTTCTTTTTCTTTTTTTTTGCAGTACTGAGGATTGAACCCAAGGCCTTGCACATGGTAGACGAGGGCTTTACCATTGAGCTACATTCCCAGCCCCTTTTTCTTTGCATTTAATAAGTCAGTTCACAAATCACTTCATAACCTCCAAAATAAACAATAATTGTAATGAGTAAAATAATTACATTTATGAAACACATGAAAATTAGGTGAAATTACATTATTAAAAATTAATATGTTAATAATAAACTAATATAAATTTAGACCTAAAAATATAGGAAGAAAAAAGCTTTAGTAAGCAAGTCTTGAATGAGAGTTCTGGCTAAAATGATTTCTACAAAATAAATCTTAAAACTTACATTTATTACATCAAATGGAGACCAGTTAGAATATGTCACAGGCTTTCCATTTAGCCATTTTTCATAATCGTTATTTTGTAACCCTATCCACACATTAGTGTTATGGCCAAAAAGATTCATAGTGATGAAAGCTGAAAGATAGGAATACATTATCTAATTTAATACCATATAAACCATTAGGGTGATCATCGAATTCTGTTTATAACTGTAATTATATTTAAATGACAGTGAAACTTAATTATGAATCAATTGTAGGAATGTGTTACTTTGTCCTTGTTAAGGTAATGGAGTTTTTTTTCTGCACTTTTGTTTGAGTTTAAATTGACAGAAATTAGCTGGGTAACAAGAAATTTTATCATGTCATTAACAAAACAATTTCCAGTGCTCATTCAATGCCTTTTTAAACAAAAGAGGATTTATCTATTGTAGTTAAGCTATAGTATATAATTACCTAAATATCAAATAAAAGTGTGTAGTTAAATCTAAAGGGATCTAAAAATCATACTGTGCAATTATAGTAGACTATACTTGAGATAATTTTAGCCATTTTGAAATGCAGATCTTATTCTTTCTATTATCTTCAAAACTCAGCAGCTTATGATCAATGCAGTACGCAGACATGTATAGATGTATCATCAGTACAATGTTTTAAATGTTGATTTGGAAACGTTAGTATGTTTTGGAACATTTTAATTAATACCTGAATAAAAATGATTATTTTGGCCTGGCTGCACCCTGAATACTCTACCTTGTTCCACCTCACTTTCAATGGCAACCAGTGTCCCCCCTGTTTCAATGCAGAAATCTTGAGCACCCATCCAGTTCTTCAGATCACTTGGGTCTTTGGGGATCCTCACCAAAAGGCACTATCAAAAAACACCAAAACAAAGTGCTCATTTCTGTAGTTTTATAAGTGAATTAAAAATTTCCCATAGATCAACCTTGAAAATTACTTGGGCAGCTGCTCCAAAGACATTAAAGTAACCATCATATCCACCTTAAAAGTGAAGAATAAGTCTTGTTCCTCTTGGGGCTAATGCCTGTGTTGACATCAGGCAGATAAGAAACAAGGATGTGTTTTGTCATGTGGGATGTCAGAGCAGTGGCCATGGATCCTTAAGAGGAGCCAGTTTGCTCACAAAGTTTGCAGTGGCAGATTTAATCTAATAAAAGAAGTCTGTGAGTGGCAAAGAACAGCTTAGCTTGAATTGATTTCCAAGCATCCTTCCTCACTTTGAGTGAGCAAGGAATACGGGGAGATGGAGCCACATCAGGTGTTTCAATTTACCAAATATTTAGAGTCAGCCATTTGGTCAGTAAGTCCATCATAAAAGCCAAAAAAGGAAAAAAAAATGAGCCCAATGGGAGGAGAAGCTAGGGCGAAACTAAGGACACCCAGGAAAAGGAGAAACAAAGGAAGGCCAGCCATCAGTGTTAAATGGAACACAGAAAGGCTATGGGATTTGGCACTGAGAGTTCATGTCTCTATCATGGTGGAGGCTTCTTATTATGGGATGGGTGAGAAATGGAGGACTGGCCTGGCTGAAGATAAGCTTTTCTTCCCCACCGCCACCCCTAAAGCTCAATGAAATTTAAAATGTTGGTAGGACTAACTGGGCTTAGGTGAGAGGGAGACACAGAAGAGAAAGGTTATAACGGAAAAGGCAAAGTTCCAGAGAAGTCAGGAGAGACTTTATGCAAAGCACAGTCCATCTAGAATTTCCTGAGAATTCCTCTCTCATGCTCAATTTGCTTATCAATGAACATAGCAACCCTAGTCTTTAGATAGGTCCGATTCCAAGATCTTGTTACTGAGACATTTCCAGTTACAGGATGATGTCACATATGTAGAAATCCTACTTGAGGGAGCATCCTTCCTATCTTGCCTTAGAACGACGACAATCCTTTCCCATCATTCTTCTAAATTCATCATTTCCCACCTGTTCCCCACCATCATATACACCTTAAAAGTGAAGAGTAAGTCTTGTTCTTCTTTGTCACACCAGAGGAATGTGACTAATAAACATTTATGGAAAAAAAAATTAGACAACAGATCCTAAAATGGTTATCAAACGACATCCTCAGGCATTCTAGATTGAGCCCAGTGGTTCTCAAACAGTTTAGCCCTTCAGGGATCATGTGACAATGTCTGAGGGTTGCCATCAACGTTGGCAGTGGAGACCAGGACAGCAGCTCCACCCTGCAAGGTTCAGAACAAGTCACTAGTCTGCAGTCAAGAACCACCTAGCTCAAAGTGTCAACCGCAGGAGACCATCCTTTTCAAAACTCAGTTCTGACATATCATTATTTTTTTGTTGCTGTTCTTTTAGTTATACATGACAGTGGAGTGTGTTTTGACACATTGTACATACATGGAGTATAGCTTGTTCTCCTGGCTATACATGATGTGGAGTTACACTGTTTGTGTATTCATGTATGAACATAGGAAAGTAATCGGACATGTCCTCCTCCTCCTCCTCCTCCTTCTCCTCCTCCTCCTTCTCCTCTTCCTCCTCCTCCTTCTCCTCCTCCTCCTCCACCTCCTCCTCCTCCTCCTCCACCTCCTCCTCCTCCTCCTCCTCTTTAATATTTTTTTTATTTTAGATGGACACAATGCTTTATTTTATTTATTTATTTTTATGTGATGCTGAGGATAGAGCCCAGTGCCTCACATGTGCGAGGCAAGCGCTGTACCACTGAGCCACTACCCCAGCCTGGACATGTCGTTCTTGAGTTTACGCTCCTCAGAGGGTTTCCATTGCTTTTAGGATGAAAACCAGAACCCCTGATCTGGCCTGAAGTTGAGTTACCAACCAAAGGAGGAAGTGTATTTTCAATTCTCCTGCTTCCCTTTCCCTTGTTTGCTTCACAAAGAAACTGAATTGGCTATAAGGAGTTTAATTTTATAACAACTATTCTTTTATCTATTTCTTTTCATTCTGCCTCTTTCTTCTAATTACAAATTCCGAAGAGTGGCACACACTAATTATTGGGAAGTCTTATCACTTAATGCGAATTCACCTTGTGTTCAGATAGTCACACTAATGAACCATTCACAAATACCAAGGAACTTCATTGGTTCCGTTAGCGCATTAAATCTCTCCAGAAAAACACTCCGTCCTCGCTCCCCACATGCTCGCTTCAGCCAGGATTGACTAGCTCGCCAGTGTGGAATGTGGCCTCCCCTTTCCACAACTTCATTGTTTCTAAAAATATAACATATTTACTAACACTCTCTGAAATGGTGTTGTTAATAATTAAAGCACAGCAGCAAGAGGCAGTACAACATCCTTAACATTGTTTACTGACTCATTTGCAAAATATGATCATCTTGTATAATGTACCTCTGATTATTGCTGTGAATTAAGGAGGTGCTATTGTTTCCCTACAATTTTCACATATAAGATTATTTTATTCATTTATTTTGGGTCTCAAAATTGTTTCTAGCTCAACATTTGGAAATGGAATTCTTGACACTGGGTGGTTCCCCAGTGTTCCTGCTGACAACTGAATGGCACAGTCAGCACACAGTAAGCCTGGGCCCTCCTAGGCATTTCACCAGCCCTCCTGCACTACCATTTGGAATTTCTGTTTTGCAAAGCACTCCCGCTTCTCCTACCCCTACTACCCCACGATCTTGGCCACCACCCTCTTAGCCCAAGTTACTAATTTTGCCTGTACTATTGCAATGGCTATCTAGCTGTTCTCACCCTGCCCTCCTCCAATCTATCCTTGGCACTGTAGCTAGAGTGATACCTTTAAGAATTTGGTCCTGGTTATGGCCCTCTTTAGTTAAAAACCTTTCGGGATTTTCCCATTCCTTTTAGGATAAAACCAGAAACTCTACAATGATATCACTTGCCTACTTCTTTTGTTTCATCTTCTATTAGCCTAGTTCTTTAGTTTCTTAACTGTTATATTTCCCCTCACCACAGGACCTTTAACACATGCTACTTTTAATGATCTTTATCTTATGACCACCTTGGTCAGGTCCTCCTATGACATACTTTTAAAGAACTACATGACTTTATCACATACATCATGGTTTTAAATGATATAGTTATTTTCCTGGCTGGCTTATTAAAATTTATTCTCCCTCTTGTCTGTAAGCTCCAAAAGAGAAAACATTGTGTGCTGTTTTTGAATTCTCACTATGCAACATAGTTAAGTGAAAGAATGGATAAAGTGTAAAGTGGGGACATGGAAAATGGTAACCCCCAAGACAATGTGCCCCAGGAGGAGGGAGGGAGGAAGGAGGCAAAACATTGATTCTTCCTCAGTAAATCCTTTCCTAGTGACAAGACAATCCCCGGGAAGGAGACATACATCAATCCTAAAATGGCAGTACCTAGAAAGAGGATAAGTGTTGATCCTTTCCCAGTAAATTCTTTTCCAATGACAGCAAAGCTACACATTAATCCTGTCCCAGTCACAATACGATGACCCCCAGAGGACAAGATAAGCACTGGGCACTGAGCTGTAAACCTCCCATCCTTGCACAGTAAAACAAGTCTCAAGGGCTGGGGTTGTGGCTTGGAGGTGAAGTGCTCACCTAGAATGTGTGGGGCACTGGGTTTGATCCTCAACACCACATAAAAATAAAATAAAGACATTGTGTCCACCTATAACTAAAAAATAAATATTAAAAAAAATCTCAAATTTTTACAATCTCTTTCCTGAATGCCCCAACTGACAAGTCACCTCTCAGTGTAACCTGTAAAACCCCAAACACCTTCTGTAACCGGTGACCATTTTCTACCCAGAAAGTGAGTATATCTAGGATATACTTGTATAGTCATTATCACTCAGTTGTGAAAAACTAATAGTCACATACAGGAATGAACAAGAAATGAATGAACGATCCAAATATACGAGCTAAACCCAAAAAGCACTTAGAAGAAAACATAGAGGTAAATCTTCATGACATTGGATTTGGCAGGGGATTCTTAGGTATGATACCAAAGCACAAGCAACGAAAGAAAAAATAGATAATTGAGTTTCATTAAAATTACAAACTTTTGTGCATCAAAGGAAATTATACAGTTAAAAGACAATCTAATGGATGAGGGAAATATTTGATAGGAATTTAGTATATAGAATATATTCAGAATTCTTATAACTCAACAATAAAAAGACAAGTAACCCAATTAAAAAATGGACAAAAAACTTGAGACATTTTTTTCAAAAAGAAGATAAACAAATGGCCAATAAGTACTTGAAAAGACTCTAAACATCATTAGCCAATAGGGAAATGCAAATCAGAGCCACAGTGAGATAACACCTCAGGTGGACTAGAATGCCTACACTCAAAAATGATAATAATAAGTGTTGACAAGAATGGGGAAAAATATAAATCCTCATACCCTGTTAGCAGAATTGTAAAATGGTTTAGTTGTTATGGCAAACCATTTATTCCTTAAAAAAACTAAACAAAGGATTACCATATGAACCAGCAATTATACTCCTAGGTATATCTCCACAAGAATTGAAAATAGGAACTTAGAAATGTACATATCAATGTTCATTGCAGCATTAGCCACAGTAGTTAAAAGGTGGAAATAACCAAAGGGCCCATCCACAAATGAAATGGATATACAAAAATATGGCAATTCATAGAATATGCAGTGGGGTATTATTCAGCTATCAAAAAGAAGGCAGATTTGATATATGCTAAAACATTAGAAGAAGCTTGAGAACACCATGCTACATGAAATAAGCCAGACAACACAGGGTGATTTCACTTAAATGAAATATCTAGAAGAAGCAAATTGAGAGAGATAGGAAATAGAGTAGAGAGGCTGGGTGTGGTGGCACACACAATACAAATGCTTTAAAAACCAATTGCCAAACATTTTAGTAAAAGACT